CAAAACCCCAAAACCCCAACCACAAAGCTGAACATATTTATAGCAAGTGAAATAATCACTATTTATAAAATAAAAACAGAATTTAAAGGATATTTTATAGAAATAAATACTATAATAATTTAATTTCAACTATATATATAAGAGTATGGCAAAATCAATTGCGTATCTACTTTTAATTGGAGCTGTGGCCCTTCCAAGCATCATGGCAGAGAGATGGGTTCAAGTCTGGAGCGATGAGTTCAATGGAAACTAATTAGACATGAGCAAATGGTCATACGAAACAGGTCCAGGAAATAACAACCACGAACTTGAATACAACACAGACAGATCTCAGAACTCCTGGGTCTCTGATGGGTTCCTTCACATCCAAGCACTCAGAGAAGACTATGGGGGCAGGCAATATACCTCAGCTAGAATGAACACCAATGGAAAGTATTCAGTACTTTACGGGAAAATTGAAATGAGAGCAAAACTACCATTCGGCTAAGGAATGTGGCCAGCCTTCTGGCTTCTCGGTGACAACCTTAATCAAGTCGGATGGCCAGCATGCGGTGAGATTGATATTATGGAGCTCATTGGTAAGGACCCTAACAATGTTCACTCCTCTCTTCACGCCCCTTCATATGACACCACTTAAAATTACTGGCACCAAGAAGGATTCGCAAATGATTTCCACACCTATGCTGCTAACTGGCAACCAGATAGAATTGAATTCTACGTCGACGGCTAACTCTTCCAAACATATTACAAAACTCAATCCGGAGGTCACTGGCCATTTGATCAAGGACAAAAGTTCTTTATTATTCTTAACTTAGCTGTTGGTGGGGACTGGCCAGGAAATCCAGACGGTTCAACTCAGTTCCCTCAACAGTACGTGATTGACTATGTCAGAGTATCTGAAATTGACTGGAGTGCTGAAAAAGAAACTCAGTTCTTGCAATGATAGATACGTCATCTTGATATTGATTAAATCTACCAAATACCAATTATCAAACATACTAACAAATCTTCATTTGATAACTATTTAAATACATATGTTAATAATACTGAATAAGAAATTATGGGGTTTTGGGGTTTTGGGGTTTTGGGG